CACCTCCATCCCCGTTCGATGAGAAGACACGGGGTCAGATCCTCCGTGTGGTGTTTGTCCCGGTCCGTCTTGAATGAGAATTCTGCGTGCCTCATGCGTTGTCCAGGGCGTCTGCAACCAATTGTTCTGCTTATTTTTGAATGAGGCGAACGCGCTCTGCTCGAGCCGATGCATTCGTATACGCTGCTGTTCTAGCATGACCGACGACGGTGTTTTGTTGTTGCCGCGCGGCGTGTGCTTTTTGTCCCACGATCGTGTTGGGGCCCCTTTGCTGCGATCGCAATGGACCGTGGGGGGGTGCGGTGTCGTCAATGGCCACCCTAGGAGAGGAGTTACGATTTCTGGTCGCCGCCAATGGAGTCCCTTAATTAGGCCCGTAAATACTCGGCCTGCGTAGACGTGCAATGCTGCTGTTGTTGCTGTTTGCTGCTGCTGCTGCTGTTGACTGAAAAGAGCTCTAAGAGAAGAGAAATTTAATTAAAGGGGCTGCTCCTCTGTTTGTCCTCTTCCTGATTGATAGGTTTTTCTCTTGTACCGCCGGTACACACATCTCTGGGGTCCTTCGAGCCGGATTCTTTAGAGAGCTGCGCGGAAAGAGCAATGGAACACAAGGGAGAGAGGAAAGGAGAGAGGGGGAGCCGTTTCGTCCGGGACCTGCTAGTGGACTCGTCAGTAAGGCATCCTAGCAGGCCCGTGCCTTAGACGCGGGATGGGAGAATGTTTCCGGAGGTACTATATATAGGAGTAGACAGCTGGACGAGAACTTGCGAGAGAACACCGCTCTGTACCGTGTCCCTCTGGTGGCAAATGTGAAGAGTAAAGCCATAAATGAGATCCTTGAAATATTACCACTTGAAGTGATTTAGGTAGAATTTGTTTTCTTCTAAATTTATAACACTGCTCCCTCAATTTATCCTCATAATATTCTGTCACACTTCGAATAACATCGATTCCTTAAAAGATTATTATTGATCGATCGGTTGCAAAGAAGGGTTAAACGACGAGCAAATCGGTGGTTCAAGGTACATTCGTTTGATCGTGCAAGGAACACAATTATACTTCAAGGATTCTTCTTTTCTGTCTATCGATCTTCCTCTAAAATTCAGTACCAATTTTCAAGGGAAACGTAGTCGTAATAAAGTACGATATCTCACGTTTCTTACGTTCACGATGGTAAGGATGCACATATTCTGAGAACGTCGTCGTCGTCGGTTGCGAGCATCTGCGAATGACAGCAGTTGTTTCCAAGTTTCAACGAAGGTTCCTCTACGTAGCCGGTTTTCCGATTCGCTCGGTTACCTTATGTTCGCGGCTAGTTTGGCCGTGCAAGTGAAACCCTTGGAAAATAATTCTCCTTATCTATTTTGCAAAGATTTTATGAAATCGATCGAACAAGATCGGAACTGGTTCCTTTTTTTATTTAAATTCACTTCGTCAACGAAAATTGCAACGATTTCTGTAATTCGCTTCCAAGTAATGGTAACAAAGATTCTTCTTGTTAAATGAAATTGTGTTGTTCGTCGAGTTTCTGAGCTCAAAGACACAGCGTCTCGGTGGCGCCTTAAACGATACCCTTTGCATTGATTACATGTAAATTGATGGCAAATTGATATCGTTACGATACGTAGTCAAATGACACACCGATCATCGATCCATCATTCTGTCTGTCGTCGTTAAGAACGCGGATAATTTGTTCCGTGGACTAGTTTCAGACCGAAGAGCCATTAGAGGTTCGACGAAGTTGAAAGATTACAGGGTCGTCCTGATAATTAAACTTTCGGAATATCAACTTCCCCTTACATTTTTCAAATGCATGAATCTCTGAAAATATACCTGGTGGTAAATTTTGAAAGAAATTGTCGATGCTAATTGAAATTTCATCAAAAACCGGTCGATTAGAAATTTTCTAAAAGCAAATTTTCCCCGTGAAATTGCAAAACGTCCGATAATTCCCGGAACGTTCGGTTTATTGAATTATTAATAACGACGCGTCATAATATGTAGTACAGGCTTCGCGGAACGAGTTATATAACGTGACGATTGTTCTTCCCGATGCATGCAATTCAAATTTCGTTAGTACTGCTGGAAAATTATTTTCAGTTATATCGAAAACAATTATGATTCTCTTTGTATCTCGCGACCGAATAACCACCGAAACTCGGTCGGATTTTGTTCAATAGCTCGACAAAAGGATCGATCCAAAAGCGACTAATCGAAAACAAACGAAACTCGAATATTGTGTCGTATACGAAACAATAAAAAGGTGACGTTATTGCAAATTGCGACCACGATCTCATCGTGCATTGCTTTGATCTATTATTCATCGATTCAGAAGATTGATAAATAATTCGATTCGTAATTTAACACTTAGGAACTGAGTCTATTCAAACCCACGTTTCCAAAAAAAAGACCCTACATCTAAGCTAAATTAATTATAAAATAATCTTGCTTCAATTACCCATTCTTCTCACAGAATAAGATCTAACGAAGCTAATAACGTATCCTTTTTGTATCGGAAGAAATCAGAGAAACTTAATCTTTGTCTTCCCTTTGTTACCTTTCCTCTTCTATCGGGCCAATGAAGCACTGAAAAAGTCCTGTCACGTAACTAATTTGGCCCAAGTGCTCCTCAGTGTACTCGTTAATTCAAATCGAACCTTTAATTAACCAGCTATTCGTCTCACGCTACTGATAACTCTGCTATACCAACAAAGTTATCGTTAATTTCTCAATTATGACTCACAATTTGGATTAATAATTACAGTCATAACTCTACCATTTGTAAAAATATTTTAATTTTGAGTTGGTTTTACACGGTATCTCTGAAGTTGATAAATTTTTCACATTATTTACTGGAATAATATAGCACAGCTGTTATAGCAGACAAATTATGGATAACAGTCATCCATAATAAAGAGGAGACCAATGGTGACGAAGAATAATGAGAGTATTAGAGACACAGGGAGCCGGTTCGATAAAATTATTGTCCCGTGTTTAACGAAGGAAATCAGAGGGAAGAAACGATTCTCCGGGCGGATGCTTCCTCTTGCACCCATTCGAATGGATATCATTTCCGTTTTCTCATCCGTTTTTCCCCGGCTGCACGCGACGAGTGTCGCAGCTTCGCTTGAAAGGCAACTTTGCACCCTGTTCCGCGTTTATTTAATCGAGACTCGACGTTTAAATCCTTCTAAAACGTCTCGTTCGCTCTCGTGTTCCATACGTGTCTCACGTCGAGTTTCGTAAATTCGATCTGCGTAAGATTTATGTAAACGAAAGGAAAAAAAGAAACGCGATTGAACTCGTTCGATGAATTTACCGGATTCGTTTGCTTCTCTTTCCGAAGCGATTGCCATTTCGGAACAAACACGAGAGATTTTTTCTGTAACTTACCTTTGATATAATTTAAGGCGTTACCTGGTACAGTAAATATAGGCACTTGATAATTAACACGTTGATAATCACAGTGAAAACGGTCGTAAATGGTATGGCATACTTTTGATCAAAATCATGAAGGATTCGATTATTTCTTTTTTTCACTTCTGCTGTTAATCAAATGTTAACACGTTAGCTACATGGTTGCCATCGATGGTTACTTACTATTAATATAAAATAAGGAGTCATGATTTTCTAGTATTCCTTTGGAACATCAACATTTCATTAATATTCGAGTTAGCCTCGTGTCATTGATGTCAGTGAGTCATTTAACCCTGGAAAAGCTGACAACAATTTTATCAAAACATGTATAGTTAAAAAACCATGAATTAGTAAACAAGGTCATGAATTAGAATTTAGAACAATTTAAGTTGCTCGACTTACGGTTGCGACGTTCTAGCAAGAATCGTGGGTCGATGACGATATCTACGCTGGATGAATTACGTGTCTGATACGGGACTGATAAGGATGCGTAATCATGAGCGGAGAATTTCGTTTCGACCCGGTGTATCAACCGGCAGCGTTCTCGCGAATACCGGATTTTACTGGTGCAATCGCTAAATAAATAATATTCGAACGTGCGTAAGCATTAGAATTTCACATACAGTTTGCGATAGTTTCACCTGTAGGTAATATCGATTCGCATCGTGTGTTTCCTTGACAATTTACTAAATACACACATTACAGATACACTTTTAGTTTATCTGTAAAAAGTTGAAATGCACCATTTTATTTTCAGATAAACTGCAATAATGTTTTATCGTTTTAATAAAAATTTCGGTTTATAAATGTACCCTTCTATGACAAATTTATTTCTTAAAATCATTACCTTCGTTTTCTTTTTTTTAAGGAACTCTATATTAATACATCGTTGATTATTCAGTTACAGAGCGAATTTTTCTTTTGTTCCTTAAAGTGCTGTATTTAATGATAACGTGTTGAAGAGGTAATGATAGATACCTACAATTAATCAATATATCAACGTTGAATGAAGAAAAGAACAGATAAATATTATGTAATATATCGCGCGTATATATGAGGCATCGTGGAAAATTTTTGAATAGTTGACCCTATTTCTTCACTTTTATGTAACCGACCTTATCACAAATATATATATATATACTTATATGAACTCTTATCAGTGACGCCCGTATATTTAAACGAGAAAAACGAGCAATCGCGTTCTAGAATTAAAGCTACGACTATCGTATACAATTCGCGATGTTTAATTAAAAATTCTACGAGAAATAATACTAATCGCGCGACAATAAAACCGGCTAATAAATTCACGAATAAAAAGTTTTCATAAAAACGTCGAATACGTACAAAAAATATAATTCACATAATCGTGATCGTAAATTATAAAAGATAGCATCTTTTTTTTTTTATTTGACTAATAAGCAGTAGCAAACTCTTATCATTCGTAGCATTAAAGAACGAAAGTAAAGCTATCACAGAAGTCTCCCAGGATCTATGTATGTGTGAGCAATTGATAGATTTGTAAATTATATAGAACTTCCAAACAAAACGTATCGATGAATAATTAGACTAATTTCGAAAATTATTTAAAACGTGTCCATGTATATGGTGTCCCTGCTGGAATAAACATTTGACACATTGTTGCTGCTACCCTGTGTGTTAATTGACCCATCGCTCTCGTTGTCTATCTCCTCTGAGAAATTAACGAGTACCTGCAAAATTGAACACAGAGGACAAATTTTATAATTTTACCAGAAATTTGGTTAATCTGAAAAAATTGTACGAATCATCGCAGAAGTCTTTTGATTTTTGTTGAAAATTTATCGCCGATCCGTTGCCAGCAGCCAACCAAATAAATTGACAATTATTGCAAATAAGGGGGGCATAAAAATTGCACGAAATTCGTTCGAGCAAAGGCGCGTAAACTTTGGGTCGTTGCATCGGATACGATGGTCGTTTATCGCGTCCATCGCGATGGAATACGCTCCTCAGGGTGAAGAGGAATAAAGCAGGAAGAAGAGGGAACCACTTTTCCAACGAGGAGGAACCATAAAAATCTGGCAACTTGCAACGGGAAGAATTTACGAGCTCGAAAACCACGTTTCGACGAACTTGATTTAAGGCAATTTCGAGGGTAACCGATTATTTTTCCGAAATCAAACGTGAAAAATTGGAAGACCATCCCGCAGAATAACTAAATTTGTCGACTGTTTTGAAAACGCAACAATCACCAACGATGCTTACCCTTAATTAATGAACACCTCTGAAGACACATGGTTTGAATCATCACGAAGTGCCAAGTTACGTACCCCGACCTGAATTCAGTTAGTTTCGCGAAGACACCGACCGTATTAAAGGGCGTTCGCTCTCCGTGACAATGGCGCGAACAATTTCGCGAATGAAATTATGCGGGTGGTGCACAGGATCGAAACAATCATGGTTCCTGATCTTGGCACACAATGAACACATTCGACGGTTAGTTCCCTCGCTGTCGGTAATTAAATTAGTTTCGATCGCTTTTGATTGCGCGACTCTTTGACAAATGAATTTGCTCTTCTCCAAAGGACATGTAAGGACTGTTCTATTACAGAGAATGTGTGAAAAAAATAGAATGTTCATGAGTTAATTAATCAGTTCAAGAATTTTCCAATCGACAAAGATTTTTTTGATGAAAACTGCTTTCATACGTTAATCTAGAACCGACTGATTGTTTAAATAACCCATAAGCAACAACGAAACTGTACAAAAGAATAGCCAATTTGAAATTATACAGTGAATAGCAGATGAATGAATAACAGAGTATCCGCGTGGAACAGGGTAGAGAATAATGCACAAGCTGCCTGATTATTCAGCTGTTTTCATAATTTTCCAACGATACCGAATTATTATTCGGCCAATCGTATCGTAGCCCGGTTAATTAACATTCCCGCGTCGCCGCGGTTAAATTGTTCTCCGGTTAATGCTCGATCAACTTCGACGAAACTCTTCATTTCTATTTTCCTTTAATTATCTCGTCCATCATCGACGCGTTATCTCTCGCCTACCATCGAGAAAGGACCAAAGCATTCGGCCTTTTCCTCTTCGCAATTACAACAGTTAATTAAGTCTATCTAATTGGAAGGAAAAATTGAAAGAAATCGATCGAGCTAAATGTTCGCGCGAATCGATGATAATCAATTAAGCAGCAAGGTGTTTGAAATTAATTATTAAGGGTGAAACGTGACAGGACTGGAGACTCGGTGCGAAGAAACGGCATCCCTCGTAACGGAGTCTAATCTCCGAGGATGAGCTTTGTGTACAGGCAAACATAATTGGATCAAGAAAATCCTAAGACAGTGCCGTATATATACGGTCTGGAATCTTATCTCCATTAAAGAGACGGGACAAGCTTCGCACGAGACGCGAACAAACGATGCGAACGTGATTCCATTGAATCCCAAGCTCGGTCCAATGCCAGACTCGTAATCGCTCAGCTATAAATTATTTAGTTGTCCGACCGGCAATCGTTCAAGAAAAATTCAGCGGATCGCTTATTTAGGGAAATTACGAAACGAGAAAATTTCGCTATACTACTTGGTTCCTAATGGGTTAGGTACTGCTTACAAGAATACCTAATTTACTAGCTTGTCAAGTACCTTGCCAAACCTGTCAAGTAATAAACTTTCGAGATGTAACTTTGTTAATTAGCGCTCGAATCGTGATCTCTTTATTAACAATTTCGTGCAAATTCTGGTTGGCGCCTTGCGCGAATCTGCTAGAGTTTCGCGTGCAATCACCGTCAGGCGTGGAAAATTCGACGAGAAGAAGATACATGACTGGCATGCAAATCTCCTTTTTTTTCTTCTCGAAGACACGCGTTCCAACGGCTTAATTACGTTTCACGTGACACACTATTCAACTTACGTAATCTCCTGGAAGATAGAGGATCTTCGAAGGACGAAACATCTTTTTTCGCAACGACAATGGAAAGCGTCTATCGACAGATAGCAACGTTGCCTGCTTACCATCTCGACCATAAATTTCATTTGAAATTCATTTCCACGATGAATTGAGAATCTCTTATTTGAAAATTTAAGTGCAAGACTAGCTCACGAATGACCCAATCATCGTTATTTAAATATTTAATGAAAAAATTCTTCCAACAGCGAGTTATGCTCGCAACGAGAACAGAGGGTCGTGAGCGAATAAAGGGCTCGGTAAAAGCTGCATCAGCTTGCCAGCATTAGGAATTCTTCCGGCTCGCGAAGAAGATTAAACGGCTGGAAAGTTACTTCGTTACGTGAAAATTAAATTGTTCCCGGGAAGTAATTAATTACGAACGATTTTCCAGCTGCAACAGGATTTCGGTCGCCTAATACGGCGAATCAGAAAAGCGTTTAGACCAGCTTAGAAGCAGACGGTACGCTGGATTTCGTTTCCCCTCGCTACGTCGCGCCGGGTTGTAAACCATGCAGAGAGTAATACAGAAGTGCGAACCGTAAGACGACAGATTCATTAATATTCCTCAGACTAGGTGAGACGTAAACGAGGATCGTCTTTGGTTGTGCATCATCCGCCGGAGACAGGACCGGTGGTCTATTCGCCTAGAATTTCATCGATTCGATTAGAATCGACAATTTTCTATTAAGAATATCGACGGGGCATTTATGTAGTAATCTTCGCCAATTTCTAAGCTTTAAATTGTTATACCATAGGTGCCACTTTGCGACAATTTTATGTCATGAAATCCTAACAGAATCCGACAGAGGTAGCACGGGTTCGTAATAGGATTTTGTATACCGAACTTTCTACCGGTATTCATTTACTCGGGGTATCGTTTCGCGACAAATCAGGCAACTTTGTCGGAGGGAAATTGATCGGATTTTCAGCGTTTCGTGCGAAACGATAAAGTAGAAAATTCGTGTCGATGCGAGCACGGTTGAAACTCTTACGATACGAACCTGATCCAACGAACTTTGAGTCAACGTGTAATCCGTGGCTTTCAGTTCTTCGGCTAGAAGCTTTAGTTTATTAAAGCTGCTGCTCACTACCATGTTCTGGCTTCGTGGTATCAACAGACGAGCAGCGTTCGCTTGTCTCGACGAGACCGTTGCCTGAGGAAAGTATTTCACCAAAACTTTCCTTAGATCTGCGGACGTAATTGGTTGCCTGAATCTCAAGAACGCCACGTAACCCTCTCCAAATCTGCGAAGAAAAATATAAACAAATTGAATGATATTCGTTTATCCTTTTTATAAAGGCGCAACGGCTCTAATGAAAAGATACGAAGATACTTTTAATAAGAGATATTTATCGCGAGTCGCACGTTTAAAAACGGATTCTTCTATTTATATTCATTTACACCGGGATACGCGTGTCAGCGTCGATAAATTATTCCGTGGGAAAAAGAACAGCTTGCGTTGCTAACAACTGCACCGTAAATTTACATGAATGTTTATGGGAAAGAGAGAATGATAGCGAATACCGCCGAGTTTGCTCTAACAGAATATCAATTGGCTGCGAGCCGCAAGACGTTTCGTAAAAGGATATTTTATATATAAAAGACACGTAACTATAGATGAGAGAGATAAGGGAGTGTAATGAAAAGTTGTTCCATTAAATGGAAAAATATCGCGATTAAACGGCAATTGGAGGAGGAAAAATTTCTGTGGAAACAAATATCGAATTTCAGCAACTGTAATTCGTGTTGAGTTATGAAGGGATGTTTACGAGGTCCTTTGGTAGCTGGATATTACGCTCGGTATTTCATACGTGAAAATATCGTACTGTTTATCCTTCGACTAAAGAAAATCCAACGAGACAGGCCGGTTTCTTGCCGAGCCACCATACTCTCGAGGATGTGGATGGATTACAGGATGGTATCCTGGTTTGCACGTGCTCGAGATATCGTAAATTTTCTCCTGCTCGATGGCCAGGCGCGAAGGGAACAGGCTAAGAGGATGGGGACAAGAACATTTTATCCAAGTTACTTTCAGAGACAAAAGGTATGCACCGGCTAAATATTTATGGCCAGGAGCGGTTCTAGAAGCCTTGCTTTAAAAGGGGATGAAATACATAAAAGTGCAATAGACCTTCGATTATTCGAGGTAATATTGAAGTTACTTTAAAAAATATATATGTATATAAAAGATATTAAAATTTAATAAAATTTTTAATTAACACACTCACCGTATTCATGGCTCGTTCTATTATTCCGAAGAGAAGGCTTTAAACGTTACGATATTAAAAAGATCCGAACACAGTAGGTATCGTTGTAATCTTCTACCCGTTGATCGAATATATCCGGTTGAAATTTGATGAAATTCCCGGTGGATGATAGGGAACGATAGCCAGGAGAATGATGGACGAAATTAAAAATCAATCGGGAACACGAGTGAATCCGGGAGGAGAGCGATGGTGAACGGCAAATAAATTGTCGTGTTACGAATTTTGTCAGAAAGCCGTTCGAGAGATCAAACCGACACGAACGATCCATCAGTTGAAACAACATCATTAAAATGCACCGGGTGAAAATTAATCCTGGTCGGATATATCGGCGCCTGCATATTCGTCCGGAATAATTGAACGTTTTTGTTGCGATCGTTAATGGTTATATTTAGTATCAAATGAAATTTCTGAAGCTTACCAATAGAAATTCATACATTTCTAGATTATTTTCCGATAATTTGCAATTATTTTATATTACAAAATATTAATACCAAGTTAAGCAAGTCATTGGCATTCAATATTTCCATCGGGTTAAATATTATCTCGTGCAAATTTCTGAAAGAAGCGAAACTTACTTGTGTTTTAGATGATGCGGTGTTCCTATACACCTGAGACCAGCTTTGGCAAGAATACCAACCCTGTTGCACAAGTTCTCGCACTCTGCGACGCTGTGCGAGGTCAGAATTACGCAACTCTGATTCTTCGTCATTCGTGTTATCGTTTTGGCGACCAACTCCTTCGTGGCAGGATCCATACCACTGCAAAGGAAAAATGAATCTCATGAAATGAAAACATGAATCTCATATTTGGAAAGAGTGAACGTTTCATCGAAATACCTCGTTGGTTCGTCCATGAGAATCACAGGCAGTGGTGACATCACGCTCAAAGCAGTGCATAGTTTCCTTTTATTACCTCCACTTAGATTATTTACCCTTTTATGAGCGTACTTTAAGAGATCTAGTCTCTTCAGGGTTGATTCGACCACCTGGAAGAAAATTATTTTACTAAATATTATTGGAATTTTTATTTTAATTTAAAAAAGAAATAGGAAAATTGTGTAATAAAATTTTAAAAGTGTTAATATGAAATTCACCTTGGGAACGTTACTCAAACCGCAAACTTCCCCATGAATGGTGAGACACTGATGGGGGCTAAGGAAACCGTCCAGAGCATCGCTCTGAGGGCAATAACCCACTTCGCCATTGCAAAGTGGCCCGGAATCGATCTCTTTACCCTTCAGAATGATCCTGCCAGCCGTCGGTATGATCTCGGTAGTCAACATCCGGAAGGTGGTACTCTTTCCGGCTCCGTTCGTTCCCAAAAGCCCGAAACACTTTCCGGCTTGTACTCCGATGCTTAAATTTTGCACGGCTACATTCGTACCGTAAACGCTTCTGTATTCCTTCCTCAACTTCACCGTTTGCAAGATATCATCTGACATACCACCTTCCACCCTCATTCTCTCCTTTGATACGTCGTCGTCCTCTTGGGCGACTTCGTAAGGGCATCTTTGTGTGTTCCACGTTGGAAGAAGTTGACATTCTATCATCAGATTTAAGGAAAATAGAATGGTACCAATTATTGCTAGATACACGTAATGGAGACCTAGAAGTTCCCAGCCTAAGGGTGACTGATAGGTGTCCATATGGAATTTTTCTAATAATTGAGCTGTGATATCGTTCCTGGATATCTGTACCAAGGCATCGCCTAGAGCGTATTGAGGAAATATAAGGAGAATATTGTGGAGAATGTTTCTAGTATTCTCTGCTGTCTTTGTTTTGCCCAAAATGTCGAGGACCAAGATGGTGGCTAAAGAAGCTACCCCTATGAAGGTGTTCACACAAAAGAGAACCATGTTCGACATGCTCGAATCGTCGAATACCTTTTCTGTTAGGTGTGAAAACGGTATCGCTGCCCATCTATGGAAATGATTAATATTTCAATTGTAATTAACAGAATGGTCTAACGATCAAAAATAATTAGTAGAATAATTGAAACTCACGCGAAGAGGAATAGTAAGAGACAGATACCAGGTAGATTATCTCTCGCTATGTAAGCAGAAAGGCCGAATATCTCAAAAACTATCACAGCCAAAACAATAGAGCAACCAAATATCTGAAATTCAAGTCAAAGTTGATCTTCCTTAACGTTATTCTCCTTTCAACTTCACTACTCACGAAGAAATCCCAGATTAACATGGTCGTCCAGTAGGTGACAGGATGGACCCCTGCCAAGTAGAGTATCCTCTTTTCCTCTGACAGTCTCTCACGTACCAATTCCTTGGAACCTTGTGCGGCCACCAAATTGAACGCGATCAGAAGAACCAATGCCACACCGACGTCCGCCACGTGTTGCAATCTAAATCGAGCGAAATTTCGCATTAATATTTAAAGGGTGAAACGGTAAATGGACACGAAACCGTCGAGCAGATTAACTGAGAAATAGGATTCAAATAATGAAATTCCGGAAATCCGGCTGAAGCTCATACAAGCATAGCGAGTTAATTAAAAGTAAATTTTATTATGCACATTTTCCGCTGCATTTGCCTTCAGCTGATAAGATCAACTCGAAATGATAATTGGATTTACGAAAATCTATATTTCTGCTGCAAAATATTAACCAATTTAGGATTATCATTTATCGTTGCTGATACATTGTTTCTTTGTGAAAATTGTAACCTACAGTGTGGTTCGGTTTAGTTGATCGCTGGATAATCTCAGGGGATGATTTAGGGTAATTAAGTGACCATGAACACCGGATGCCCTCATAATTGCCTCGTTCAGAGCGTTCAAGTAAGACGGCAATGCGTGATGACCCTTGTTGTTGAACCAGACAACAAATAGCGGCTCGTTGTTCGCGTGAGACAGTGACCATCCCCCGTACCTATAAATTCATAGTAACTCCAATTATTCAAGATACCAAGATTTTCTTTTTTAATCCAACTCTTTCCACTTGTTATCCTACAAAATTTTTCCAATGGATTATATTAAACAGAAGGTGACTGGTGACTCTCGCAACAATTAACGTGTAAATATTTTCCTCTTTTAAAGGGTACCTTTTTTCTATGTATTCTTGATGAGTGGATACTATCCAGTCGAGTGTTGGTCTCGCAGGTAGAACCTGTAAGAGACCCTCGACAGCTTGAGAAACACCATGGCAAACTTGTTGACCGTCCAAACACCCGCACGTTCCAGTGTCCTAATAAAATAATAACGATCGCGTTAAAGAAACCATAAAACATTCTTCAAACTTAACTCTCAATTACAATAATCGTACATTGGGTAAGGTTTGCCATGCACCCGCATAGTCATCCCCAAATCTATCGTGAAGTTGAACTGACACGTGCTGTAGAAACGAATCTTCGCTACCATCGATGCTATGAAAAATAATAAATATTAGTAATTGCAGTTATTTGTTTGATAGATCGATATACCTGTAGAAATATGTTGGATGGGTATCGTATAACTTCGGAGTGAGTACCAGTGCGGGTTCATCTGCGGATGGTGGTCTGATCAAAGAGAATCCCATAGCAACCGCGACGAATATCGTCGGCAAGAAAAGACTGATTAAAAGTGTCAGCCAATCTTTCCTAAAATGCCAGACTCTTTTCTTCAGTAAGGCTTTCGCCTGTCTAACAGGGGAAGGATTTAAAGTAGATTCAACGTCGATCAGATCGACGTCGTCTTTGGGCATCGTTAGACCTGTGGTATATTAAATTCCATGCATTAAACTGATATCAAAATTTTTCATAGAATATCTCATAGAACATTAATTGACGTACCAACGTGATCCACGGTGGCTACGCTATCCTGACTGGCTCTGATAATAGATGATCCATTTTCTGCTCGGGAACAAAGGTCCAAGAAGACTCTTTCCAATGTATCGCATTCCAGGGAGAAATGGGAATAGCCCAGAATTTTTCGACTGTCTTCTAAGACTTTAGCAGCTAACGCAATGCTGGAATATTTATTTTATTATGCCAGCTTTCGAGAGAAAAATAAGACTTAATTTTGAAATAAAATTTGGGGAATAAAATCCCACTATTTCAAAATAATAGATGCCAAAAATCTAAATCAACATAATTAATAAAAAATCTAAATTAACCTACTTGTTATTCATCCCATTCTTCCCCTGGAAAGGTAACGTAACTACAACCTCGGTGTTGGAGACCTCATTGGTCGCCACATTGGGCACCACCTCTTCGATCACGTTCTTCAGGGTCTCCAGCCTCTTTCTATCGATAGAATCCTTGCTCGTCTCATGATCGCTGGGAAACGATACCAGAAGTCTGTAACCGCGACCGTGCATCATCTTCAAGGACAAAGGCGAACCGGTGCACAATATTTTCCCTTTGTGCATCACTACCACCGTGTCGCTCAACATGTCAGCCTCGTCCAGATGATGAGTGGACAGAATGACAGTCCTGCCGATTCTGTGCTGATCGATCAAACGCCATATCCTTCTTCTCGCGGCCGGATCGACACCTGCGCCTGGTTCATCAAGGATCACCAGCTTTGGGGATCCTAGAAACGCTAGAGCCACGCAAAGCCTTCTCTTTGTACCACCCGACAGACGGTACACTGGCTCGTGTTCCTGTTTGCCTAGTTCAAGGGACGTTAACATCCTGCCAAAAGGATTTTACAGGAAAATGTTAAGCTTCCTCATATTTGGAATTAGAAGGTTTCTTATTGGAAGAATAATTTCTTCGTAACCTTACTCGTTCACGTTTCGTTCCATGCTGACGTTCTCCTTAGGACGTTTCAGTTTCGCGTAAAATAACAGATGTTCCCTGGGCGTCAAAGAAGCGATGAGCACGTTTTCCTGAGGGCAGACCCCTATGTCTGGTTTGCAGCCCTCTTCGCCGTTCAAACAAATCTCACCACTGGTCGGAGCCTGCATCCCTGTCAGCATCTTGCTGAAACGAAAGTACATACTCGAAAAGATGAAAATGAATCCTGATTTCCTCCCCTTATTGATGGAAATCAGAGATCTTTTGACCGACGTTAAAAGGAATAACTTACAACGATCAGCAAAATGAATCTAATTTTAGAATACCACCTGCTAATTTAATATCTCGTGCTTTAATTAATTTTTAACCAGACACGTACATGATGGTCGTTTTTCCAGCTCCGTTTCTCCCAAGAAGGCTGGTCACTTCACCCTCGCATAATTTCAAGGTAAAATCATCCACAGCTACAACTTCTCCTTGATCGGTGTTGTAAACCTTTCTGACACCTTCGAATCTGACTCCTGCCTGTTTCTCGCTGACCGTCAAGTTGCTGATATCACTGTCTTCGTCTGTACTCGTTAATTAAAAAAAGGAAAACATGCATCTTTAACTAAGAATAATAATTGCATCGAAAGAAGCAAGCTCTTACCCTTTGTACACCTTTATCAAATCCTCGAGTAAGCGTGTTAAAAAAAAAAATAATTTTCAGATAAAGAAAGCGGATGCTCCGAATGAAATTTTCTACCTTACTCGAATCCTTCCTATTGTAGGGAAAATGGAATTTCGTAATTCATGCGAAGCATGCAATGTCAGAGACTGCATTCGTTCGTAAAACATAAGGGAGCTGTAATGAGTGCACGATATAAATATCTAAAACAACCCAACACCTTTCCCGGATTCACGTTGAATTCGAACAAACAGTAGCGCGAAGAATTTTCCTCGAGAGCAGCCATTTCGTAATGCATTCGGACTGCAACATTGAATAAATTAAGCGTCCCCCTCACGAAGTAGCAACAGACATTTGCATATTCGGTGCAATTCAAATATTCGAATAGCTTCCGCTCTGGAAACATTTATGAAACAAACGAACGAATCACGTTCATGCAGATCGAACTATGTTTCGATCCTCTGTTGGCTCTACGTTATTTTAGGAGCACTTTTGGACGCGAATTCTTGCAATACAAATTTTCAGTTTAGAATTTTGGAATTTTTGTGATCTCAAGTTACTGATACTTTGAGATTTTGGAATCCTTAGGACTATGGAGTCTAGAATTTGAAAATTTGGGAATTTTTCAGTTCCCAGGACTATGGAGCTTTGAAGTGTTTGGAATATTAGGATTCTGGTATTTAAATTTTCATTGATCTATAGATTAAAATATCTGAATATTTAAATAGCAAGCAAACAACACTCATGAAAGATACCAAAAGCAGAAGAAAGGAGAGAATTAAAAACAACGTGCAATAGCAGGAAGAGATGGCAAGTGCGATACCTTGGTAAGTGGCTGAAGGGTGGAGAACGTCGTTAGTGAAATAGAGGTTGTTGACGAAGGCGAGGTAGCTCGGCCTGCCATAGAGAGAACGTGTGTCGGCCCACCATAAGCTACGGGACCTCAAATCGTGAAAGCCCCTGCCTGGAAAATTATTGGCCAATGCTCGTCCGTTTTTCCATTAACTCACCGGGTTCATCGAACTTCTGTCGTTTCACGGCCTAAGATTTCCTGCTGATTTCTCCTTACGTTTCAAGGCTTTCGTGGAAATTTGTGCACACATTTGCCACCAGGTGCTCGTGAACATTTAAATAATCTTTTCCTTCACGGTTATCAACAAGAACGACAATAGAAAAAGTACACAAACACTTAATTAATCCCTGATTATCACCTGCACCAAAGAGCACACATGTAGGCTCTTACGATCTCAAAAAAGCAAAACACTATTTGTTAAAAGATAATCATAAAAAATACTGTCCTGTGAGTATTTGTAAATAACAGATACCCTTGCAGGAATCTTTGTTTTTGATTAAAACGTAGAAACATAAAATTTGAAGAAAAAAAACGTGAGAGAATAGAAGAAATTCTGCGGCCTCCACCAAACGTTGAAAGATTGATTCTACAGAGTTCTAAGTGTTTAGTCGAAGTTTCTGTTGACAAGCGGTAATAGTTCAGCAAGTTTCTACCTGAATTCGTGTATCTGGCGACCAGATAACCAATAACAGCGTAAAGGCAACCATCGAAGGCAATCATTAGAAGCACCAGACCCAAAGACATCGAATCACCGGGACTGGATTCCTGCCATATCTCGTTCCACGTCAGTCCCACACCTTGAACTTCCTTTCTGGCAGCGTACAAACAACCGTAACAGAAACTTGTCGACATGCTAAGACACTGAAAGTTTCAACCATAGAAATTTCATTACATATAAATTGTGTTAATGCTGTTGCCAAGTTAGATAACGATAACTTACTATTAGAAGCTTATAGCCGAGACCTATAACAGCCTCCATAGCAATGACAATGACGTACGGCATGAATGTCAACAAGAACATTACCACTGTACTGATAGCAGCCAAACTTGCCGAGCTACACAAGGTCGAGATCATGTAACTGGAAATTAATTCATGAATTCTTCGTTAACGCAACATTTTTTAGAAACGAAAATGATTTGATCAGGACATCTTACCAGAAGGTTACTATAGAAAATGAATAATCAATCATCATGATTAAGATCAACGTAGGATCGGATCTTGGTAGAATTTTTCCAGCCAGAAGCACCAGACTGATGGAGAACATTATGATTAATAATTCTATGAAGGTTGCGATGAACCAAGCCATGGTATTTCTCCATGGTTTCAAACCCATCACGCTCATCACCTGGAAATCGAAGTTAGGTGGTGTTAGCCTTGGATAGTGGACCATTGAAACAGTAATAATTTAAATTTTATTTTAATAAAATTAAATGAAAAATATTTTACCATAGCATTGTGAGATTCCCTCTCCCAAACAATGTGTCTGACAGCAGCTCCAACGCACATAATCAAAGCGAAGAAGAAACAGACTTGAATACCCTGAGACTCGTACAACGTAGTTTGAAATCTAAAATTTTTCATTTTTTAAAATCATTCAAATAACAGGAGATTGAAATGAAGAATACTCACGGAACGTCCTTCCAGCAAGGATAAGGCATCTGTTGAGTCATCGTCCTCCAATCCTGATCTCTCTGACTCTTTGTTTTAATAATCGCTCGATCGATAGAGTCCTGCAGTTGTACAAAACCCCGAAGGTATCTCAGGTGTTCTATGAAACTGCTCTCCGGACCAGGTGTCCAAAATTGATTCTTCAATCTCTTCGTGGATTGAACGTAATCAACGTCCATTCGAATTTTGTATATTACGTTCTCGGGTAATTCGTGTTCCAACGATCTCTTCGACCTCGTCGAGCTTTTATCCAAAAAGACAACACCAGCTAAAAACTGTCGCGTCTCCATCAGTAACCGTGCCTCTGCCTCCATTTCTTCCTCGCTCCGGAATCCTTTTATTCGATCAACGAGCACGCACTCCAATAAATCATTCAACATACCGACCATCGTGATCAAACGCTTCGATCTCTTAAGTCGCCAGGAAATCTCACTGAGGTTCATATCCGTGAAATCTCCTGAAACGAATGAAGCCGTTATAAAAGAAAAAGAAAACAGAATAATATCTTTGGTCCTTTTTCGAAAGCTTTTTAAATCGACTTACCACCCTCGAAATTTCCACTCCCGTAAGATTTGATGGCGATTTTTATTACATCCGAAGACATTATATCCTGCAGCTCTCTTAGACTATCACTCATTTCGGATAGGTTCGCCAACGAGGTCAAAGTTTTCTCCAAACTATCCATCAATATCCCGAAATGTTCCATTTCTACGAACGTTCTATTCGCCAGTGTCATCACTTTGTTCACTATAGTAGTATTAGGAGCGTAGAGAATGTAACCTCGTAGCAAGGGTTTAACGTAAGACCATATGATCTTCCCACCGCCCATCGCGACTACGCCCTTGTAAGTGTTTCTGCAGAAATCAGCTGAAAAATAAGAAGAATCATATTGAATTCAATATATATAAAAAAAAAATAAAGAATTACTAAATAATTGTTTATACAAACTGGGTAAAGAATCCAGTTCTCCTTTGTCGAACTCTTTGCTGTTATCCTCGATTTTAGAAATAAGTTTATACAAATCCCCGTTGTCAGAAACCATCGGTTGTCCGCACAGCATTTCGCTGGAATCCTGAAGGAACTTGGAGGCTGCAAAGGAGTTTGAATATTTATCGAGTTCTTAAAGCATTCTAATTTAATTTCTGAATTTTGCATATCTCACTCGAGACTGTTTGATCTTCTGTTTCCTCCACGTTCGATTCTAAAGCTTTCGCCAGCGGCATTTTAGAGGAAAGTTTGTCCCGGAAAAATGGTAATAACTCGGCAGCCACTCCGAGATTATTCAGCACCATCTTTCCTTCAGTTTCTGTTAAGTTCGCGTTTGATAAAATACTTTTCACGTTGGCGTTCTTCAGCTACGATAATGAATTTTATTTATGATTAAAAAATAAACTACTTTCCTTCGGATAATTATTATTATACTCACTGTGTTAAAAATATAATCGAAATTTAAATTTTTTATCAACGTTATCGTCACGTTTTGAGTCTGCGAATCTTCGAATTGACAAATCGCAGAGCTGACTTCCTCGGCAGTGATACGACCGCTGTTGAAATTTAACATATCATTGAGTTTCTTCGGCGAGCAAATGATCTCCTTCAAACTGAGCGCTCTTCTTTCTTTCATGAAAACGGAAATCATATCTATCTTCGCCTGGCTCAGCATCAGCGCGACATCATTTGAAATTCCCATCCTGTCCACCAAATACGATCTCACCACGTCCCAGTTGTCGAACATGTCCCTGATAACGTCTGAAAAATACGAATCGTTTCTCTCGTACAAGAGCAAAGAGGAGGTGTCGAAGTAACTATAGCTGCGAATATCATTCTCTCTTACATTTCATGTCTAGGAGACCCAAATTCTTGAAAATGTCCATGGATTCCAGTGCCACGATTATACTGTAAATGTCGTCCAGCACCTTTTGGTCGGTGACGAAAGGTTTCACGTCCTCCACTATTTCTCTCATTCTATAAAATTTTCAAAAATCAACAAATTTCAGAATTCCACAATCTTAAAATCCTCCTAAATGGAGGACCATCGAACGGTTAACAGAGGAATATTATTCGTAGATCGAAGGAATCATCCTTACCCGTCGAAAAGCTTGTCCACGGTTTTATCCTTCAGGATATTAACCACACCATCGACCACATCCGGAACCCCGAGGACGTTCGAGACGTCCTCAAAGTCTATTTTACTAGCGACATCGAGGAGATTGCCGCTCTCCTCGATAACGACGGACAAGTGGCCGAGGATCTCTTTCAGCCACGTTAAATCCCACGTGGCATCCATGCGCCATTGCTTCCGTTCGCGATCTATACGATCCAGATCCAAACTTTGCGACAACCGATCGGAGATTTCCACGATGGAATGATATCCCGAAGCTTTCGGGTCGTAACGGAACACCTTCCCAGCCTTCTTGGAGCTCAGATAATTATACAGAACCGTCGAGTTACGACACTCCGCTTTCGTTCGACACAGAGTGCCATTTCGCTCGTTCATGATCGCGTTAACGTTGATCGTCGCGCCAGGTAGATACGCGTCGATGTCGGCCACGTCTGACGTCTTCGCCACGTCGCGGACTGGTTTCCAGATCGGTACATATTTCTCGGCTAATTTTGATAAATTCTCGATGTTCTCGTGATTTCTGGCAGTGTCCAGGATAATTACGTTCTTCTGGAGAGACTCCAGGATAGCCAGAGCCAAGGACACGTACCTTGAAATTAAATTTTCCTTTGAAATTGATTCCACTACGCGTATCATTGAAAAATTTTAATTAAAACGCTTACAATCCTGGTCTGGAATAAGCAGGTTGTCCAACAAATTTATGATAACACTGGTCGATTTTGTCTCTATAAGTTTCATTTTGAAAATTCACTATGATGTCGGCCACAGAATGCATAGTGCTCTCTAAAGTAGTCACAAATTCATTCCTGCTTCGTTTCACGCTCAGGTACTTGTAATTCTTTACCTGAAATGGGTTCAAAATTGTATAGAGAGAGAGGAAATGGTTTGTAGATCACGAGGGTAACTAATTCTCACCATGCTGGCGGTTTTGTTCCAGTAGAAATCGCGCATCAAAATGTCATGAATCTCCGACACCTTCGATCGATTCAACTGACACAGCAGCTTCGAGTACAGTTGATGGTTCACTAGCTGAGAATTTAAAATCTCGAGCGGTAACGTAACGCACCAGGAGCACTCTCTGAAAGGAAATCTCTCTCGATAAATAAATCTATCATATATTGAATTGTTCAGAAATATTTTATAAACAAAATAACACGAGTTTACTTGGTACTCTCAGCAGAATTCAGGATATTCCTTAGAATCGTGAAGACCTTTTTAACCACCAGATGGGCCAGTGCTCTAGGATCCTAAATTAATTTTTAATTAATCATTGAATCGTATTTTCTATAGCGAACTCTCGCTATATTGCAACTCGAGCGTGTTTCTCTTTCGAAGCTCACCTCCTTTTTATAATGGGACAAGAAATCTTCAAAAGTACCCTCTTTGAAGGACGACCACCATAAGGGTACCTTTACATCTTTGAAACCTTCTGTTGCCACTCGAATGACGGTCGATTGAACATGGTCCCATTTCTCCAACAGATACGTTTCGTTGAGTTCTCCTCCGGTACCTGACACTCGACTTTCCTACAAGATCCGTGCAAATGTTGTAAAAATAATTCGAAGCCCTTTCTGTAAGTTGCAATAAGGGAAAGGTACCTCGTACTTCCCGTCAACGGGCAGTAGATCGATCAATGTCAACTGTCTATCGGCGTAAACGATCTTCTGGCAGAAGTTGGTGACGCTCGACAAGAGAACTTTCTTCCTGACGAAACTGGGTACGATCAAATATTTGTCGATGTCGCAGGGGTGTAGCTTGCCAAACGCGAGCTTCTCCACGAAATCGTTCAATCTCTCCGACTTCACGAAAGTGTCAACACAGCTCACGACGAGATTCGGTATGTCCTCTATCAGAGTCAAGATTGCTTTCACCCTCGAGTTCTCGTAGATGACTCGTAGCTTTTGCCAAACATCACCGCCGGCCAACAACTCGACCGTCGCGTCAAGAATCTGATACATTCTAAACACTTTCGAGAGAGGATCGGACGACGAACCGATCAGCTCGTTCACTTTTGGATATACTTTGCTTTTTGATTCGCCTATGTACTTGCGCGACCAACTTTGACCCATTTCACGAATAAGCGACAAGGTTTCGTTCGACAGACCTTTCCAGGTTGCCGAACTGAAGACTCTTGATTCCACCTTCAAATTCGGCTCTCTTGAGTGTAGATTTAAAACCTCGTCTAAGAGTTTCGTTAGAGACACGCTTAGAGGTGTTAATCTCGTCATGGTAGGCCTTTGTCCAATCAGTAGGAGCTGTTTAATTAAGAAATTAAAATTATCAAAGTATTTAATACCGAATTATCCGATTTCTTTTTTACTTACATAATATTCTTCACTGGTGACTGTCTTCAGCAATTGATAAGGATCAAAGGAACATATCTCTTTTATGAATCTTGTCCTGTTTGGAGCGGACCAGTAACTCGAATTGAAGTGGAAATTGCAGATGATCTTTCTTACATCTTCGTAATCCATCAATCCATGTAAGTTTAAACCGGTTGTGCCGAGACTAGCTATCAAAGCTATCGTTTCTTCAGGGTGTGTATCAAGGATCTTCAACAATCGTCTGACATCATTATTTTCAACAAAGTCCCAAATATTCACGCGATCATTTTCTACATTCATATTCTTCATCGCGTTAGATATATGAATTAGTGCCTCAGAAACTCCTTCAACGAAGAGTCTGTACTTCACCCATTCGTAATGACCCTCCATTTTCTGAAAAACAATTGTTGCAATGATAATGCATTCTTTGGGTTCTAAATTAATGATCATTTTACCTTAGGTGTTTCTCCATTATAATTCTTCAAAGAATCCCTCAATTTTTGGAAGGTGGATATCAGATAAGATTTTGAAAATGGTACATCGACTATGACACTTTTGTTCTGTATTTCCTTCGTGATTTTCCGCACTTGCGAAGCGAAATCGTACACGTCTCCTATAGCGTTCATAGGATAAGCTCTGTATTTGCTAGTTGGCTTTGTCCAAACATCAGACTCGGCCAAATATAAATCAGTGTAACCGTTGAAATTCTCAGGATCGAGATCGCAAGTGAAATTCTTCAGGATTCTGTAGTCGTCTGAAGGGAGACCAATTATCGAAGTTGACCACCATTCGAATAATTGTGAACAGGTGATATCGTTGCTGGTCATCAGTGATTGGACAATGCGATTGTCAACCTCTGGGTCTGATAATCCGTTCACCACGGTGGCCAAAATGTAGGGTAACTGGTTATAATAAATTCCAATAGGTGTTCTTTTATTGAATCCCAAAAGTGATAACAAATTTAGTTTCACAGATGTTTGAGAAGAACTTGATCCAATTGCTGAGAACAGAAAAATAGATTCTCATCATTTCTCTCTGTTTATGCGAACAAATGTTGATTAATATTTTAACACTCACCGTCGTGTAGAATTTCAGACACAGTCTTCGTGGTCTTGTGAACAAGATGGGAAAGGAATTTTGTTAGAACGAGAATGCGATCCTCGACGGCGATCGCTGGCTTCCAGATTCCATCTGCAGAGAGGTTGCTTTGGAAAGCTGATACCGTCTTGTCGAGCTCCATGTCGATGTAATCTAACGTATTCCTAAATTACAAACACGTTAATCATTAATTTAATTTGCGGTATTCTTGCGTCAGGAAATTGAACACCGGTGCTCCCACCTGGCATCGTTCTTCACGTCGGGCCATCTATCGTTCAATATACTTTTCACTTCCGGTATCAGCGATTCCAAATGCTCCCACAAATGCGGTTGTTCAGCCAAAATAACTTCTTTCGTGCTATCTCCCAAATCGTCCATTTTTTTGACCAGTCGACGGAACTTCCCGTAGCCCAAGGTCCAATTGAAAGGCGGCAATTGCACCGTGTCAATCCGTTGAAACTGATATTCATTTCCAATATTGAACACCAGCGGCAAATTTCTAATAGAGAATTTCTTTTTACGCTACTTACGATCTTACGCGATCTTGATAATATCGGTTGTTCCTTCCATTCTTGAATGAACAAAGCCGGATTGCAAGATATCCTCTCGATCTCGCGCACTATTTCGCGAGTGCCGTTTCGCAGCTCCATGGCGGATCCGACGCTCTCGTTTTGTATGCACGGCCATTGTTCTTCGCGGGATTTGTAATCGTCCAGAACGGATATCTGGCAAACAGGAAGGAAAATGATTTCATCAAATGTTTCGAGGTGATTTCACAGATCTGAGAGAAAAATTGAATAAGCGCTCGTTTTGTAATTTAATTACAACTACAGATCGAGAGGAGAAAATCTTGTGAAGATTTTTAAAATTAATTTTCAGTGGATCGACGCGTTAGGATCACTTACAAGGTGAATGGGCTTCATAGTGATAATGTCGACCACGTCAAGAATCAGCGGAGACAAATTTCGCAGGATAGCACTCAATAGAATTTCCGTTTGAGACATGTCCTGCAGTAGCTCGGACAGCTTTGCCACGTGATCGTTCCTTTGAATTTGATCGACGATCCTCTCCACGTGGTCGAAGATCACCGATGCCGCCCAACCCATCGCGTGCATCTCTTTCCATCCGTTTTTCGTCCGGAATAGAGGACTCTCCATCACGCTCAAGAACTTGCAGATCAAACCTACGCTGCAGAAAGATGTTACGTGTCAACGAAGGTAAACGTCTGCCCTTTAAAAAACTCCGACGAATGAATTATTTTCATTATTTGCGTACCTCAGTTCGAAAACATCCTTCACCGAGAGATCAACGCTCCAGGATCTTCGAAAGTCCTCCTTCAATTTCTCTAAATTAGCCTTGTCGTAATCGGAATCCTTCTGATGAATCAATGTATCGATGTACCGGTAAATCTCGATCGTTTTCGCATTGAAATCGGTGAAATTAAAGGATCCTTTCTTCCAGTAACGAGCATCCTCTCTCAAATCTATTTCCGTCATATTTAATTCCAGATCGGTTTGCACGGATTTCGATAAACGACAGACCAATGATTTTAATACCGTCTCGTTTGATCCCTTTGGAAAATTTAATAGACCAGGAGGATTCGGGTCTGTGCAGTAGGTCCTGGTGAAATTGTCGTATTCTAAAATTTTCAGAGCCTGTTGAAATTGGAAAATTTGAAAGGAAAATCACTTTGATCCTGTGAAGATTGCGAAATGTTTTCTAGAAGATCCTCGCTGTAGAAAGGAATTCAGATAACGAGTTAAGAAAAGAATTTAATTCGCAATTGTTCACCTTATCCTTATCGGTTACGGTTAAATAGAACGACTCGATTAGCTGTGCTTTGCGACGCCTGACTTCTCCGATCCAGCTCGTTGGATTCTCTCTTACATCCTGCAAAATGATCTCAGCGAGTATGTCCATGTTCTCTAAATCAGGACGAATGGTCGCGTAAGTCAAGCTACGCGAGCCGATCATTTTTGCGATGCTCAAGTGAATTCCCAAGCTGAAAGAAGACGATTGTTAGAAAATTTTTATCATAAATCGACGATCGTTCTAGACGCTCACAGGTCCAATCTTCCTTGGGCTTGAGTTTCTTCAAAGATTTCTGTCCAGCTTTGGTTGAATTTAAAAACAGACCAGTCAGGCTCTGCTGGCACTGGTGATTCCAAATACGACACTAATCCTTTTATGCTTTTCACGACAGACGTCAGGTTTGATTTTTCAATATCGATTACTTGCTTCAGCACCATGCTGACGACAGCCGATAAAGAGTCGCTCATCTGTATTATATTTCAATCATACGTTACGCTGCTTCTGTTCGCGGGAATTGAAAATAAAATGCTTACAATATTTTCGAACTTCTTCAACTCGAAAGCTTCGTACACATCGGCGATCAACTTTTTCCCTGAATCGCTGCACAATAGCTCCTTGATGTAACCCGACTCGTCTCTGGTGTCTTTGAAGTTCTCGAAAATCTCGTTCAGCGTTTCCTCCTGGCAGAAGAAATCCTCGGCTCTCGCGCGTCTCACTTTGTCTACGAATTTCTGAATGGACAGGTTTAAAATTATTTTAATACCTTCGCGATTCTAAAATCAACAAAAGGTGTGATATACCAGTAAAGAAAATGATATCAACCTCTACGAAATTCAATCTGGAGAACGATCGCACGAATGTTCGATAGACCTTTGGATCAACGTTGGTCAACAATTTCTGTACTGTATCCTTGTGGTTCAAAGATATATTGTAAATCCTGTATGGAACATCCTCGTGGATAATAGCTGCATGGTGTATCATCTCAACAATAGACTGGGTGAAAGATAAAATGTAACTCAGTGTGGCTAAAATATGTTCCGACAGAAAATCCCTCAATCCGTCCAAAATCTCAGCTGATCTGTAAAGAAAGAATTGCTTTATCGCTTTGATATTTACACTTCAAAGAAATAGGAAAACTCACAATTGAATTTGATCCACGTGACGTTCGAAAATCCTGTTGGTCAGCTTCGCTCCATCATGGAGAATTGCTATACTCAGATCCAAAATTTGTGTGAGATTTTCATTATTTCCGATATTTAATGACATAGCTTTCATGGAACCTTTCAATCGTTCTACGATCACGAAGAAATCATCCGAGGTTGGATCACTGCTTTGATCACCTTTCATCTTTTTCGCTAATACCAACAATTTTTGTAGCCTGAGGAAAATTCTTCGTGCGATTGGCCAATCGTGTTCCATTTCGAACACCGGTTCCAAAATTGCCAAGGATTTGTTCACACTAAAAATACATTACAAAAAATCTTTTTTTAATTCAATAGATTCAAGAAGAACTCTGTGGCGATTTGTTCACACTAAAAATACATTACAAAGAATCTTTTTTTAATTCAATAGATTCAAGAAGAACTTTGTGGCGATTTGTTCACACTAAAAATACATTACAAAGAATCTTTTTGTAATTCAATAGATTCAAGAAGAACTCTGTTACTCACAAAGTAAGATCAATCTCCTTGAATGTGACGTTCTTGAAGACCATTATCATCTTTGGTAACCATTCGCGCAACCTTAAATACTGCGGAACGTTTGTCTTCACGGTTTGGAGATCTAAGATCGTTTCGACGGCTCGTTTCAAGTCATCGAAGAAATCGTAATCATGAAACTTCGCCATCACGCGATCCACCATTTCCATGAGACCAGAAAAATCCAAGTGTTTGGACAAATTTTCCAACATTTTCGGTATCATCTCCGAGTCAATGTCGCAGAGGACCTTCGATATTTCTGTGTAATCTTCCGGTTTTGGTAGGATCAGGTATTTCTTCAGATTCTCCGGAGAACAAATCACTCCGTCGATATTGGACGAACCGAACGCCTCGATGAGCTAAGAATTGGATGAATGAAATTATTTTATCCCTCGTCGGTGGATTTGAAAATTGATCAACTTTCCAAGGGTTAATTTATGATACCAACGTATAACAATTTTATGGAGGATTCGAATAGTTCATCGATCAATCCTTGGCGAGCGTAGGGCATCTGAAGCCTGAGGAGGTTCTTGATTTCCTCGTGGTTGTTGAACAGATCTCCCAATCGGATGCCACGATCTAGTCGACAAATTTGATAGCCGGTGTGAGTTCGCGTATAGCCAGGATAGTAAATGAGGTAGATCGTGCATGCGTACCGAACAACGCCTTGATTTCCGGTCTGGTGAGTATTTGCGCCATTGATTTTAGCAGCTGAATACTGTTCGGCAGTGTCCTAACCGCGGTAAGCACCGTCTCGTTACCGAGCATCGGTTGTAAATCTACCACCAATGAACCTAGACTACGATGAAAATATATTTTACAATAAGGTGGAATAATAATGAAATTCGCGATCTCGCAAATTTGATCGGAGAGCGTTAAAGTAAAAAAATGAACAGCTCCTGGACAATAACCATAAAAGTATGACATAACTATAAAAAATAAAGTTCGAGCTTCTGGCCTCTCGAATGGATTAACATTATTTCTAGCGTTATTGCTTCTCCATTCACGGTCTCGCTTAAGAAACTTTAATCCGAACGCGATAAATCAGATGGTTCCACTTCGACGCAAGACCGTGAACGTATTAGAGGATAGAATTTTTCCATGGAAAAATCGTTCAAACTTTCCATACTAACGTGGCGTTTCTGTAAGAAGGAACTTCTTCGTATTCCGTGAGAGGATCACAAGGGTTGCCGAGACCGCAAATGAAACTCTGAACGAACGGGAGTAGCCCATTCTGCGGCATCGACCTCGCTGGGAATTGGCAAGTCGGATGGTACTTTGGATCCACGTTGTCGCGGATCGTGTAAAGGATCATGAAGACGACAACCGGCCATACGAATACCAGCGCCAATATACCCTAAACATCCAAGTTTATGCAACAGGCTTTAAACAATTGTCGCGATGGCTTTGAGACTTGTTTCGACAGGGCTATAATTACCGGTTGACGTTTTCGAACGATGTAATTTTTCCATAAGAGAAGTCCGATCTGGTCGACCCTCATTGTGAATGCACTCTAAATCTGTAAAATTAATCATTTTACTCGCAACGAGTTCCATTTAGAAAATGTTTGATGTGGAATTTTTTTTTTACTAAGAATTGCAACAATTGACCTCTGATACTAATAAATTTCTTTTTATCTTCGCGAAAAAGAAGATACACGTCTATTTTCGTTTTGAATCAGTATGCAATTTTTGCGCTGCATTGTTCTTTGTGAGATTAAAAAGGTGGAGCTTGGTAAAAGGATTTTTTGAAAAAATGACGAGACCGCAGGGAAAGCAAGCAGAGCGATCTATAAATCAAGATCGAACGATGAAAACCGCTGGCTGATACATCACGCAGGGCAGAACAAATATTTGAAGAGCGTAACAAGCGTGTCTGTCGATACACCGGCAACCGGAAATGCGCTTCGCTCTGTCGCGTGCTGCAGCAGGTTTCATTGCGAGGAAACAAAACAATGAACCGAACGGATTGCTTTCGTACAAGAACGAAGCCGATAGTTTGTACACATCAACGCGTATCCACTCGTTTCACGACGTATTTCCGGTTCAAGCAACGAGTTTCCAAGTGAACCGAAAGTGTACAGTTCAATTTAAAGGCGAGTTTAATTCGTACACCGGCGAAGACGAGTTAACTGCTCGTTGAAATATATCTGTTCGTGAAATTCAATTATTACATAAGTATTCAATTTCAGTACTTATCCTAAATTGGTATCTATTTTAAAATTGAATTTCTGCTATTATTTTTTAAAGTTAACTAAATTTCCGTTTTTTATTTTTATTAATGTTCCTAGTTTGCAACGTTAATCAATACCAAAGCTTCCAAAATTGATTTCTAATTATCTAAATTTTACAAACTACCATCGTAACTGATTTATTTGTTAATTTACTCGTGGTTTCCGTTTCCCGAGTTATTTCAATTACGAAATTGAAGCACGGATCGTCGGACACGCGTACACCATGTCCCATCAATTTCCCTCGGTTATGAATTATGAAATTAAAATGCAGTTCGAAGGTCGTTTATTACAAATCTACGATGGATCCTAAAATAGTTAAAATGATGGATAAAACATCTGGGACTGACTGTATATTTGCATTCTCAATGATCGACCTCCAAATTGAGTGGCATGTAGAAACACACACATTTGTCGATGTGCCTATTATTATTCGAATTCAAGATTACGGGAAGATGAGAAGTAATTATTGATTTCGAAAATCTACGCTCTGTCATTTGTATAATCGTAGACTTCGAAAGGTTGCAAAAACGTTTATCTACTGCAAAGAAACGAAGAATACATTATTTTATGTGGATAATAAAACGATGAAGAATACAATGAATAAGATATGAAAGCTTCTGGTTTGATTTTCGATGCAGAATTATCGGTGAACCTGTTTTCCCTACCGCCGAGGAATGCATAAAATTAATAAAACAGTGAATAAGTCGAAAGAAAAATCTTCATTATTATCAGTAAAATTGATGGATTTAGGCATTATCGGTTGTGTAGAAACCTATTTGAAGATGAAGAGTAATTAGCAGGATAGTCATTCATTAACGCGTCACAGATTATGGTGCACTTTCACTGCACTCGTAAACTATGCCAGTTATGCTGAAACTAAATAGGATTTCTACGGGGTGTTTCATTCGTCAGAAAAATGTTTCATTTATTTTTATTGCAAATTGCAACAACTGGTCGAGCAAGTTCCAATATACCAGAGCTTGCCGATCGACAAAAGAAGAGAAGTGTTTGCTTTTATCTAAAATTTCCTACAAATCAGAAGTTTAAAATTCCATCTTTATGCATATCGAACATCAGCAACAGACAGCGATTGAATTGCAAACTGGAAACCGCACGAATATACAAGGACGCGGTGAATTTCCATTTGGGAAATGCTTGCAAAAGGAGTAAACGTGTTTGAAACAAATTGCTGGACGAACGCCTCCTCGTTAAATGTCCTTCCGGTATTTTGCATTTTCGCCTTACCATTTAACACTAGAACAAGAATATAAAATTTACTTAAACTAAGGTAGGTTGTTGGGGATACAATTTCAAGTTCAAATTAAAATTCAAATAAAAACATTTGAAATCCGTCGTATCGATGGGTTTGATTCTCCTAGAATTAATTTTCTTATTACAGGTAGAGATTAAAATGAATCCTTACAATGATCGAGGGAAACGAATAAATAAATTGCAAGTAACAACCCTCTGGCATGCAACACGATGTCAACTTACGTCTGCTAGCTCAGTGAATTCCTTCAAACGAAGCGGATCGATGGATCAGCTTTCGCTTAGATCGGCGCACAAAGCCCAGCACCGACTGTAATATCACTCGAATCTCATCGATCCGACGATTCGCGAACTCGTGAAACCGCGGTTGCTAAACCGCGAAAATAAAAATTGTCGAAAAAAACTTTTGCACCTATCACTGATCCCGTGATTGCTCAACAATGAACGAGCATCGAGAGGAGCAGATAGTCGCGAAGATGAGAGGACGAATTCGCGATATCCCGATTGCTCATCACGATCGAATTCACGCGAACTTGAACAAGTCTCTCTGATTTCGATCGATAATATTGCAAAATCAGACACGATCACTTCCTTCGGGCACGTTCTCCAGCGGAAAGGAAATTAAAAGAAAAAAGCAGCCGAAAGGGAACTCGTCCCGGCCTGTTCGTTCCAGACCTTGCTGGTTTCTTGCTTTTTCGCTTGGTAGACAAGAAACGCACCAGGTTCGAGTTTATGCACACTTGGACGACGGTCGGAGGCCGACTGTTGCCACCACCGTGATCCACGAGCACGTGGACCTTAGCAATGCCTCAACATCCGTTCGGGAATATGTATTTATAGGCCCGTACACAACCAAGAGTCAGCGGGCGCGTATTCGATGCTCCAACGATCCCTACGGACCGATTAATTGAACTTCTTTCGTTGTTTCGCTCGGCCTTCAGGAACGAAAGCGAGAACGATGTTCGGGCAATGGGAAATAAATCTCACGAGCGGAGGTGCGTGACTTGAAACTCCTTCTACACGATGTTTCCTGTTTCTCTAGTTTTCGGTTCCAACCCTGACCTTCGAATACGGTAAGCGGACCTGAAGAGGCAACGTAATCACTGAAATTATTATTCCGAGATTTTTTCATTTCAATCATCCTATCATGAATTTTTGCAAAATACTATTGAAGCAAATACCGTGCCCCCCTTCTCTCTCAGTTATTGACGTCAAGCATTTAATATAGGCACATAATTAAATAACCAAATGGTATAATTACTGTATCAATTTTGTAAGATGAGAAGTGGAGAAGCTTAAATAAAAAAATCGAGTGATTCTACCACGCACGGCTGTTTTCAATGTGTCAAACGAATAATCCCACACAATGTTCGAATATTAATTAACACACGTTGCCTACCGCACCTTGTAATAATATTAAAAGAAAGAATGTAAATGATGATCTTTTTACCTATTCAAGCAAACGGATTAACGCAATCGATTATCGTCGTTACTGTATCGAACTCGATGAAATACGTTTCACGGTTACGTACCAGATAACTGGTTATATTTGTACACAGGAAGAACGTTAACAGCGTCGAGCAGCTCGATTTGTTTAGCAAATAGAAGCGATCATGACTTGAGACAAGCAGGTCGATCGGCTGACCCCGTCGTAGTATCGAAACGTTCAACTGAAACTGATCACGTGTACAACATAGCCGTTCCGGCTCTATTCCTCTCCCATACGACTATTCGAAATATCAATTAACGCTGATTAACATGATACACGAATAAAACAAATAATCACATTATTCCGGTAATTGTTAGCTAAAAGTATGAGACGTGGTTGAAGATTTTTGCATTGTCACCGAACGAAGTAAACATGTTTTGCATTTTGCAACGTAGAAAATTACACATTTCTCCCTCCCTGAATGAAGACTCGATTTTTATTTACATTTAAACGGGATAACGAATCGAAGCAATTGGGATTGCACAAACGCCAAAGTATAATTTTAATAAACGATAAGCAAAGATTGGCAAGTATAAATTAGATTGTGGATTACTTCGAAATCGCTAGAATTTATCGCACGAAAATCCTGGTAAAAGAAAAAAGAATTAATTCTCCAAGGATATTTCATTTTCGAATGATTTAAATACCTGGTCTCCTTAAACTCCAAAGTATAATTTTAATAAACGATAAGCAAAGATTGGCAAGTAGAAATTAGATTGTGGATTACTTCGAAATCGCTAGAATTTTTCACACGAAAATCCTGGTAAAAGAAAAAAGAATTAATTCTCCAAGGATATTTCATTTTCGAGTGATTTAAATGCCTGGTCTCCTTAATAACTCGCTAGGCTGGTGCATCATAAATATTTCCGCAGAAGATTGCTAATCCTTTCTTCAGCTAGTAACACCATCCTTCGCATAAAAATAGAATAACGTTCTTTTTACTTCGTTCGGCTGTTCATCAGCCGCAGGAGGTAATCCTATTAAATCCACTGCAGGACCAACCACTTGACAGAATTCCTCGTAACCGAATGGAGAAGAAATTGCTATCCGAGTAATTTTCTGCTACCCTCGTGGTCGGATCTAAAAAATACAAAGCCACGTGGTTAGATTCAAAAAACGAGCCAAAAAGCGAGAACCTGTCTGACCGGAGGTTAGCCTGCGAGCCTAGCCACCGCATCTTGGTTCGTGGAAATCGAGAATGGCCGCTCTTTTGCCGCACGTTGTATTACGCTGATCCGTCGCGTCGATCGTGAACGCGTCAGAAAAGAAAGAAATCATTGCGTCAAGAGATGGGAATCGAACGGATGCTGAAAGAAGGAGAGACCTGTTTTTCGTCGTCGCCAGTTACCTAACAGAAAATACAACACATCCACGGAGAGAGGAGAGAAACCGGAAAAGCGACTCCCGGTACGAGTGATACAACATACGAGTAAAGAGCTCGCTAATTAACCGACTTCTCGTGGCAACCAGCTCATTTCCCATAATCATCTTGTTTTCCATACAATGTACACGTTGAACAATAACGTACACGCGCGGCAACCGCTTAAACGAATCGTCGATATTGCGAAATTCGCGTTCGTTTAGCGCCTTTCGATACACCGCTTATGCTGAAGAGATCAATTTAGGTATGAAAGATAATTAAGACGGCGTAGCCATTAAAGAATTGAAGAATTAAAGAAAAAAAATCGAATAGCATTCTCCAAGATAGAAAATCGAGAGCTTGAATTTGAAATTAATAATCTAATTTAAAGAAGAACCATCTTGGTTATTTCGCATACGAAGCAAGTCTCGAATCAGTGAAAACGTATTAAGTAGCGCTAATCAAGAAAATCGCCGGAAGATAGAAGGTATTAATTTTTGTAAATTACGGTCAAATGACACGGTGACCAGGACACGAACCAGAGACGAAAGCAGTTATCGAGGAACGCGAAGGAAGAGGTGTTTCGACTGCTGCATCAGGTTCAATGCCAACGATTACGTACAGATTATGTACAGATTACGTCAACTCTTTCGAGCTGTTCCGAACACCGTTTTAAACCGTTAACAATTACCACAAACTATAAATTTTCTCGATTAAACCGGTCTTCGGTATCTTCGGTCTGACAACTTGTATGTTGCAACGGAAGACATCTCTGAGATCTCTACGAAACTTGACAAAAATTCAATTCTAAAGAGCGTCCAGAACAAGGGCATTTTCCGTTCTCGTTTCATAATGATTCTGAAAGGACATCGCGTCCTCGATAATATTATCTGAGAACATAGAGAAAAAATGAACTATCTCTCGCGATCGTAAGTTCGTAGAAGCATGGATGCCAATCACGAGACTAGGTATCCACGATAACACGGCCGGACGAAACGCAAGAGAAACAAAAGAGAAGATGACACTAGAGAAAGCATATTAATCAGTCCACCAAGTTATCTGACCCTTCCGGGAAGCTTCGTGTCCGGCCAATGATATGCACAACTTTTGTTGACAAAAGGGCAACCGGAGTTGCGCACAACCATTGTGCATCAGAATAATATGTTTCTAAATATAGGATTTTTTCCGATTATTGCAATTGAAGTATACATAACAAATTCCGCGTATATTCCAAGAGAAATTATGATTATAAACAGACAGACGCGACTCGCGCGTCGATCCCACAATCTTAAAATTATAAACAATAAGGAAACAATACAAAACGAAGTAGTAATTTATTTTTTCGCAAGACAGACGCGAAGAGTCGCTTGCAATACGTTATTTCCCGGCGCATTGCACTCTTTGTAGCCCGGAAGTTCCTCCTCGCATCTCTCCATCCAAGCCTTCACGTTTGGATAGTTGTCCATGTTGACGACTACCTGCGGAAAGCATCGGAAAAATGATCATCAAAATTCTTGATGATTCAGTTTATCTTTCAATGGAAACTTACAGTAGCGGATGACGCTGTGGATACGCAGTTTATATCCGCAAGGGTGTAAGAATCCCCTGCAAGCCATTTCTTACCCTCCAGTAATTTGTTCAACTGTTCGTACGCTTCGTTCAGAAGCTTCATTTTCTCCTCGGGAATCTCTTTCGCCGCTTGCATGAATATGGGTTTCTGAAAACGTTTCGAAAGCGAAATTAAAAATGGATAACGAAAGATGTTACGTTCGTCCCTCTTTGCGTATAATCCCCTTGATGCTGGGAAATAAAAAAAAATCTTCTTCATAAAATTACTTCAAAGCGGCTTTTCAGTTTACAAGCGTACGACGCGTACGGGTTGAGGAACGAGTCTATCCTAGTTGGCCCATCACCGACAAAAATGTGCAGTTAGCCGAGTTTATTAGGTGCTATAAAAGGTGCATAGGATACTCAGGAACTTGGTGGCGGTATCGCATAATGCTTCTACGCGCAGAAAGGCGAATCGCATTAACCTCCTTTCGCGCGACTTAATCTGCCTACCCCGTGAACGTGCCTTAGCCCGTGGTAACTCCATCAACAACGGTATACCAACCGAGTACCGTGTAAATGCATAATAAGCGTTGCGTTGTTTTTTCACTGAATGAAGAAAAAATCTTACACCTCTCACAAAGAGGAATCGAACGTTTACATAGATCTCGATATAAAATCTTCAGTGATAAGTGATGTATACTTAAATTGCTGCTAAGAGTAAACTGTGAAATGGAAAACTTTGATACGTGTATCCTCGATCCTCCTGATTAACAGTCACTTACAAATGCATTTTTCGCGGTGGCAAAGAGCACTCCTGTGTCATAGTAGAGGAACTGATTGATCAGGGCGCGTTTTTGTAGATCCGTTGGATACAAGGCATGATCCTTGGCGTATTTGTCTACCAGGTAGCAATTGATAGCGTGGCTGCAACGAAATTTATATTAATTAGTATGGAAAAAACGAAGTTCGTACGGACGCTCTTTATGTAAGAATACCTGTCTGTAAGAAAGAAGCCATCATCGTCCATCGCCGGAATGCTTTGTTGAGGGTTGATCTATTAAGATAACAGAAATGTTAGAAACCAGTTAGAACTTAATCCTAGGATTAACTATAGAGATCCGGCATTTTCCTACTTTCGCATACTCCTCCGACAAGTGATCCTTGTGCATCAAGTTAATCTCGTGGATGTTCAGCTTCAAACCTATCGCGTGTGCTGTCATCAGAACAGCGCGACATGGCGGGCTGAGATCATAAGAGTATAGAGTAATGTTCGACATCCTTCCGTGAATGAGTCTCTGCAAAAATCATCAAAATTGGACGATTAATAAAAATAATTATGACGAGGGTTTAAATGCAGAGGATGCACCTTCAACACGGTCGTTGCACCTCTGTTCTTAAGATACATTCTTTATTGTTATAATGTATAATTTTCTAAGAAAATATATTGTAAGAACTGCTGTTTCTATTAAATATGCGTCTGTCAAAGTATTAATATTATTATGTCAGAACGGATGCTGATTAATCCGTCGCTTTAATGCGAAACAACAGTATGTAAATTAGCGAAATGCAGATGTTCATAATCTCTTAGATAGTCGTCCCTGTTTCTATGGTGTAACGTAATATACGTATATCTCGTGCAGCAAGTGCATATAGCCAACCCAGATAAAATCTCCCCACCTACACTATATTCTATAGTAAGCGACAAAAATCATTTAACCGCAGTAACCATAGTTGTGCAGTTGTTAAATAGAGGAAAATCAATATTGATTTCACTTGATTTTTTCCTTCGCTCTCCTATCTTTCACAATTCCTATGAAATAATTGCACAGAAATTTTAATACTTCACTTTCAACGATAACATTGCTCTCTTTCTCTCCTGACTAAGACGTGGTAAAACAATCTACGCTTCTAACGATTTTAATTGTTGACAGCTGAATCATCTTATTGCAAACCTGTTTGAAAACTATAACTGACCAAGAGCGTCATCTAGTGATATCAAGTAAAGTGACTGCTAAATAATTATGTACTGCAGAAAATAGAATTTTTTAATAAAAGAAAAAAATACTGTGCACATTTCCCGCCATATTGTCTCTGTCGTTGTGAGCCAATTCTTATAGACGTTTGTGTTTATTATATTATTTGACCTACTCTTCAAGTACACATTTCTTTTATATTTGAAATAAGAAACAAAACAAAAGGAATATATAAATTAACAAATATATTGTTTATTACAAATAATAATATTTTGTCCATTAAAGTTTCCTACCGGAAGATACATTATTAAGTACTTAAATCAAACAATGATCTATAGGAAATATCTTTCATATGTAAAAATAAATCATGCGATAAAAATTGTTTAATTTTTACACTTTGAAACGTAAGTTACAGAATATTGCTAATAAGAAAGGCAATGATTACTGAAATATGACAAATTTGTATCCTTCGACGGATCGCCACTTACCAGAAATATATATTGTAAGAAGCTATTAACACTTTGCACTTCTTGTAACAAGCAACAGCTAAGAAAAGAAACAACCTCGATAGAACAGACTTGATCACCGGACAGACAGATCTGATTGCTTGTATGTAAAGTGAACAGCCGTTATACCGGTTGATTTGTATAGTGTTGGAGACACCGACATTGACTCAGCGTATTCACATAATGTACTTACGTACATACACATACACCAGTAGCGTACTTCATTGTTCCTGTGTAATCGAACATCATTTGTCAGAGATATTGTATCAGTGCTTTGATACTGACGATACTTCTCCTCGTTCGATTCAATATCAACAAAACTAAATAATAAATATATATATATAATGAACACCAGTTTGGTAGTAATTACAAGGACATTAAAGGAATGACACAAAATATGATTCGCAGGTTCGAACGATCGTTTAGAAAGCCATTAAAAAGTTTGCCGATGAAAATTTCGCGGCCAGTCGTAACATAAATTTTACGTGAAAAACATATAGGGTGGAATACGCCAATGTGCACACCTGTTGCATTATTCTTGCTACGGCACTGTGTTGTGGTATCAGTGATAGATATAATCGAATGTAACTTTAGAAAAAGTTTACTAATCTCACGAAATAGCCTCTTCACTTATATGAGAGACATTCTTATATAATACGTATATATTTTCGTAGGTCCTAGAATCTTACAAGGTCACATATTGGAGATATTGGAGAGCAGCTCCATTTTATGGAACTCGGTTGTTCTGTAATCTATTCCCTCCTGTGTCTACCATTTTTGGAGCTCTTATCATTTTTAATAACGCGTCACGACGTGTGTTATTGATAAACAGATTATAAAAAAATCAGTTTCGTAAGTTCAATTGTTTGAACGTACCCTTTACGACATCTGTCACCTCGATCACGCAACTACGATAACCCGAAAGATATCAGTCGCGGCATCTATTGCAGATATAAGAAACTAATGATTTTAATACATAATATTGAAAGTCCATGACAGAGAATGATTTAAGTTCCCACAATTTTTGTTTTTGACATTGATACGATTAAATTTTTAATCAATCAATTCGAAGATGATCTAAAGATAAATTTTACAATTTATGCAGTCATTTATAATGATTCTAATTAATTTCAATTAATCGAAAGGAAACATCCATATCTGGAAAATAAAAATTTGTACTTCGATTGTACTTGATCGCACGACAATCGAGGAATTTTTATTTGAAATTTATACTATATAAGAATAAAATAATTGATTGGAAAACTCCATTGCTCTCGGTGTACACGATGCGATCGCGCGTCATTAGGAAAATTAAACATCAGTCAGCGGTTAAGCAAGATTGTTGAATAAAAAAAGTCTCCACAGATATTAGATATTTATAGATTGCTTTTGGCTTACAAAAACATTTAAAGAAGCCATGATCAGCAGTGGTACATTAGTATTCTGTCGCTGTTGGAAATATAAGAGGGATTGTTTCGCGTGCCGATGGCCATTCAGTTTTTAGTCGCGGCTCAACCACCTCGTCGGTAACGTGTATTGTCATCCTCCAAGTCCAAGTGGTGATCGCTGAAACTCAAAGAAATGTCAAGTTAAAGGAATTTCGTTCAAGTGAACCGTGATATCAATTTTAAATAATTAACCAATCTGCGAACAATAATTAATTTTTGTGAAGTGAAAAATTTCTCGCATATGTAATTGAAAGAAACTTCAATTACCCTTTGAAATTACGATTATCATTGTTAACAGCAGGAATACACATACGTAGCTGTTTGAAAAATGGCTTGTCCCTTATCGGACGGTCTTGCGTAAGTAATCGCTCGAAAATATCTTTTTATACAACCGAATCTATGTAATTTCCCGTTTAAATGCGACTTTTTTATTTAAATTATGAAATTTTCAATTCGAACGATTCGATGTTAAAAATTCATGACTTTCGTTATTAGAGGCATAAAGAAGAATTATAATAAAATAAATGACATTGATAAAATGAAATTGACTGATAATTTGTTTTCAGCGAAGATCAAGAACAAGATAACGATCAGTTGACCGAAGGACCGGGTATGCTTTATGGTGAATACTTGCGACTAGATAAAATCTTAACCGCACAAAGATTATTAAGCGCAGAGTACAACAAGGAAGTGCACGATGAGCATCTTTTTATCGTCACTCATCAAGGTAAATAATCTGTATAGAATCGCGATGACAAATTACAGATGTCCCAGGATCTCCTCTTATCACGGTTAACCTTTTACTTTACGATTTTTCAAACAATTGCGTCAACTATAAATGTCATCCAAATTTTTCCTATCTAAACTGTAATTTGCGTCACGAATGCAATTAGATAAGACGAGGGGTTAAACGGAAAAATTATCTGAAAGAAAAAAATAATAATGATGTAATCTTAAATCTGAACATAACATCAGCAAATAACGCAGTTAATAAAAATCTGTCCAAGTACCAAGATGGCGACCGCGATCTGTAATAAGTACGATCGTTAAAACGAGCATGTTCTCTTTTTTTCTGTTTTCACTGCAGCGTACGAACTTTGGTTCAAGCAGATTATCTACGAATTGGACTCGGTCAGAGCACTCTTTAACTCGGAATCAAACGGCTACGACTTCTTGAATGGTACCTCCAACAATCGTCCGGCTATTCAGAAGAACCGGGTCCCGCAGATACTGAACGAGTCGAGGACCCTGGAAATCTTGAAGAGATTAAACCGCATCGTCCTCATTCTGAAAGTAAGCGATAGATAAAAAGATTTCCCGGTGATCCTGCCTTTAGAACGCTCCCGATCGTCCCGGTCGAGCGTAAAAGAGAAAAGGGAAATAATGGTAAATAGATTTCATTCAACGTGTCGCGGAGTTAATCCTGTAGGTAAAAAAGAAGGCCAGTGGCCATACGTTGACAATGACAGTGATGGAAGGAATGTGAACGACCCTTAATCGCAAGCCAATTAGGCCAGCGAGATTTATGACAGGAGTGATGCTCCTCCACCGCAGGCACCCTCTAATCAGATTGTAAACTCACCCTTCAAGACTATTTCACTTAAACGCAACTGCTCGAATACCGGACACGATAGTTGTAAAAACATGGATCGTTGCGTTTCTCACGGGTCATCAAGACGATCAAAATAAAGTAATATTAGTTTCATTGATTCTTCATGGAGGATTGATAAACGGGTCAAGGTTTCTTAGCAATGCGACACTTTTTCGTTAACGTTGCTTTCCTCTTCTGTTGCGTTGCAATAAGAACGATTGTGAGAACCGTAGAAATAACAGTGGGATCTAAGTAAAGTAATACCAGTAGATGACATGCGACACCCCACGCTAACACGCATAGATGCATTAGGTAACCAACTCGTTGACGCTCTTTCGATACCACAGAATGCAGGTGTGGTCGTCGCATTTTTCCTTCTGGTTCTACTGAAAAATCATAGGGTTAACTCGATAAAAATTCGAACGAAACATATTTATCAATTCCTGGAAGGATCGTTCCAAAAATTACATTCTACAATTATTTCGTCAAACATTGTAATTAACGTATAACGTTCGTTATCTTTTTTATTTTCATGACTTTGAGTTTTGTAATTTAATATCATATAAGGAAAAATTGTAAAGGTAATTTATTGTAACATTACACGTGTTGGTGATCGCTTCTTGAAGTAGAAGCATAAGCCTGGCAACCGTACAAATGCGGATGCGGTTATCTTAGACGTAGACTCGGTGAAATCGATTGGTCTGCGTGAAAAAAAAAAAAAACGCGAATACATTACAGAATTTGTTGAATGATAAAATTAGTAGAATATTTCACTGATGTTTATCGATGATCTTAACGTTCTGTTTTCTATGTTGTCCAGCTTCTGGTAGATCAAGTGACAATTTTAGAAACTATGACACCATTGGATTTCATGGCGTTTAGAGATTACCTGTGTCCAGCTTCCGGCTTCCAATCGCTGCAGTTTCGTTTATTGGAGAATAAGCTGGGCGTGAAACAAGAACACCGAGTCAAGTACAATCAGAGTTACACCAGAGTGTTTGGAAGGGATCCGAAAGCTATCGAGGCGATTAAACGTTCCGAGGAAGAACCTAGTCTCAGCTGTCTCGTTCAGAGATGGCTTGCGAGGACGCCAGGTCTCGAGACGCACGACTTTGATTTTTGGGGGAAATACAAAAGATCCGTAGAGAAATTGCTCGCCGAGCAGGAACAATTCGCTCGAGTAAATCATTTCTTTAATTACGCATATAGTACACTCTCGTTATATTGCCCTTCCATCATT